CTGGTGCCAGGTCCATGGCTGACCAGCTGGACTGGAAGAGAACCGGGTGAGCACTGTGGGTGCCCATCCTGCTTCAGCTTCGAACTGCTCCTCAGTGCTGTGGGCATCACCAGGCCAGTTCATCAGCCCTGGCAGGGATAGAAATGCAGGAGTGAAGATGAGGAGTCCTTTCCTTGAGTTTCATAGAAAGTACGTCATGACTTTTCCAACAACCCAGTAGTTCCGTTTACAGGTTACTCACATACCCTGCAAGCCAGCAGGCCACACTACTGTCCCAGGTGGAAACACTGTCCCCGTCAGCCTGCCAACCCCAAGGCCCTCTCCTTAGATCTCAGTCTCAGACGCTCAGCCTCCATCTCCAACTCTGAAACAAGCTGATCGTATTCCAGGAAATTTATTCAGAAATGTGTCACAAATGCAGGTAGATGGTGGAACTTCTAATATTCTCTCCTATATTCCTATTAAAGCCCTTATAATGCTTTTATTGTCAATAAGACAAGAGAAAAGAAGACAGAGAAAAACAGAATATTCCTTCCCAAGGAAGGCTGTGGCAGAGCACGGAGTGACCTGCCTATCGCACTGGCGGGTGGGAGGTTTAAGAAGCTGACCGAGTTTCCCACCCGAGATTCCTGGCTCTCATCAAGGTGCTCACCGTGTGACCTCGAGTGGGTCCTTTCCTGAGCCTAGGCCTGTGTCCGTGCTTACCAATGAAGGACCAGAACAGATCCAAGACCCCTGAAGTGTGGGTTCCTGTGTGACTAGGCGCTGTGGGGCAGACCATTCAAGCACTTGGAGTCACGGGGTGAGGGAGCCCTTCCTGCTTGGCTCTCTGTCTCTGCCATGCTCACGGCAGCTGGTTTGGCTGAGGTCACCGTGGAGCATCTGCACTCGCCAGTCTTGGCCCCGTCAGCAGGGCAGCGCCTGAGCTGGGAGTGGGCAGGCGGTTTGGTTTTGTCGTATTATGCAGTTACTGTTTTCCTCCTGCCAAGTGATCCTTGTTTTCCACTCCTGAGGAGATGTGGGGTTTCTTTTTCAAATAAACTTTATCTTATTTGTTCAAAGACAAATAAGCTGGTGACAGTCTGGCAGAAAGAGGCTGCAGGGCTGTGTGCACGCAGGGTTAAAGCACATGACGGGCTCTAGTACATGTCCACGACCCACCTCCAGTCCCCAACCAGGGGCCCCACGGCAAAGCACATGTGCTGTGTAGAGGTGCTCAGGAAACACCGAAGCATGACGAGCACCAGAATGCCACGCTGTTCATTAATTCCCCACACCGTGCCACACTCCCTTTAGGAGGCCTTTGGAGGCCCCAGGGAAGGGCAGCAGGACTCTGAGTACCCGGCAAGGGCCGCAGGCCAGCTGACCTGTGTCCTCTGTCCTCCACCCACAGAGGCTCCAGCGAGAGAAGCAGCCCAGTGACCTGAATGAAACCATCAAGGAGCTGTTCCGAGTGGTGCCTGGGGACGTGGACCCCGTGCTGGAGAAGAGGTCGGTGGGCTGCCGGCGCTGCGCTGTCGTGGGCAACTCAGGCAACCTAAAGGAGTCCCTCTACGGGCCCGAGATAGACAGTCATGACTTCGTGGTGAGGTGCGTACCCCAGCCCGCCAGGTTGTACCCGAAGCCCAGGCCCCTCACTGCACCCCTGGCCTCAGTTTCCCCATCTCTGCATTGCAGACAGAAAATCATACTTGGGAGGTCCCCAGTGGAGTGGGAGGCCTGCTGAGAGCACAGGATGGATCTGAGGACTCTCGTTTTATCTTTAAGTCATCCCCACTTTGCAAACGTGCTTTTCATGTAGAATATGGATTGCCGTCACTGAGTGAAAGCGATGGATGTCCCAAGGCATCCTGGGTCTCTGGACATCCCTACCAACCACTCAGAGAGGCCCAGGGTGAGGGGCAAGGCAGGCTGGGACTGGCCATCCACCCTTCTAGAACAAGGCTCTTGCTTCTTTGTATACTTTGTCCCTTGTACACTCGCCCAGCCTCTGGGCACCTCAGTGTACCTGGCAGCTGGTGGGACTATCCATGGGTCAGCCAGGTCTGGGGTCAGACAGACCTGCCAGAGCTCCAGGCAGGTGCTCTGTAGCCCCCTGGCCCAGGACAACCTCAACCAGAAAAGACAACCACAGAACAGCTCCTGGCCGTGGTTGCATTTAGTAAAAGAGCAGGGTTGACGATGGTCAGACTGACGGGACATAGAGGAGATAAAAAGGCACAGCCTTGGAGCAGAAAGGCCATTGTCGAGCGAGAGCTCTCCAGGGAGGAGGCCCAGGCCACGTGACACCTCTTCCTCCCTCTCCTCCCAGGATGAACAAGGCGCCCACGGTGGGGTTTGAGGCCGATGTGGGGAGCAAGACCACCCACCATCTCGTGTATCCCGAGAGCTTCAGGGAACTCGGAGAGAACGTCAGCATGGTCCTGGTCCCCTTCAAGACCACTGACCTGCAGTGGGTGGTCAGCGCCACGTCCACAGGCACCATCTCGCAGTGAGTGTCCCCACAGGCGCCACTCTGCCTCCTCCCCGGCCACCCTCGCGTCCACCCAGAACACCTTCCTCCTGCAGGCCTCTCCACTTCCTGGGACTCCCTCCCCCACCACCTCCCCAGCTCTCGCTGGTTCGCTGCCCCCGTCAGTAATAAAGCCCAGCCTTGGCTGTCTTCCCGCGGGGGCTCCTGGGTAGGCTCCCGGGCTTGCTTCCCAGACACCCGTACGCTGCTGTTGAAGGAGCACGGCTGGAGGGCCTCCCACAGTCCGCTCTGCCCCGTTTATCCCGTAGGAACAGCCCCTTGCTTTTCTTTTTTTTTTTTAATTTTTTTATAGAATTATTTTATTTAACTTTATTTTATTTACTTTCTTAAAAAATATTTGACCAGAGAGGGACAGAGTGAGCAAGAGAGAGAGATAAAGTGAGAACGCAAGCCACCCGCCCAGGACTCAAACTGCAATTGGCCATGCGGGAGTCCAGTGCCCTTAACACCACCCGCCCGCTCCAAGCCCCTGGCTTTCCAGTGTTCAGTGAGGCTGAACTCAGGGTGCCCTGGCTGTTCTGCTCCATGTCACCCCCAGGAGGCCAGGGCAGTGCCGTGCAGTCAGCCTGGGCATTAGTCTTGCCTCCTCCGGGAGGAGCTGGCCTTGCCCAGGCGTCTGTCTGCTCGGGCCTCACACTTACCACTGGGCAGCTTGTCCTCACCACAACATGCATTTGAGTCCCGATCTCCAATGAGGAAACTGAGGCTTGGCCAAGCAGCTTGTCCCAAGCTGAGCTCAACTGGGCTATGTTCCCATCTGGGTCCTAATCCTAAATCCCAAAGAGAAGTAGCTTAGATTTCCAGATTCCCAAAGCCTCCTTGCCTTAGGCCAGGTTTGCAAGGAGGAACGGAAAGACACCAAGACTGAGGCAGGAGGCCGGGAGGGGCTGCACCCTTGAAAGCAGGGCTGAGGAAGGCTGAGGAAGGAGCCCCAGGGCAGTCTCAGCCTGGAATACGGTCTCTGCACAGGGGTGGCCTGAACCCAGGATGTGGACTCAGTCCGGGGTTGTGGTCTGATTCTGGGGTTGTTGCCTCAGCCCAGGGGTGGTCTCAGCCTGGGGGTGGCCTGAGCCTAGGTCAGGACTCAGCTCAGGGGTGGTCTCGGCCCAGGGGTGGTCTCAGCCCAGGGGTGGTCTCAGCCAGGACATGGTCCTGGCGTGGTCTCCTCTGCCCGGCCCCATGGAGATCTGGGGCTGACTCAGCAGAACTGGATCCAGTGTGGGGCGGCTTTTATACTTTACAGTGGGGGTGCTACAACCTCTTGAGAAGAGAGTAGCCATGGGCAGCATCAACCAGTTCCCCAGCAGCTGGCCCTGCGTGCCCTGCTCTGAAAGTTGAGGTGCCATGGGCTGTTCTTCTTTGGGCTGGGCTTGGAGCAGGCCTCATCCTAACCTTTCTGGTGGTGGTGGGAGGTGGGAGGGTGGGGGTGGCCCACAGACTATGCTCAAAATAACCGTGATCGACCCCTGGTGATGTAATGGGCTGGTACAGGGCGCTGGTGTCCTGTGAGAAGGAACTGGGACCAGGGGAGGACCCCCCCCTCCCCTGGCGGTCCTGTCTCTCAGTTGCTTCCCCTGCGCTGCGTGTGCAATGTGCAGACGGCCCCCTCACACCCTAACCATCTCTTCTCTCCAACGGCAGCACCTATGTGCCTGTGCCCCAGAAGATCAGAGTGAGACAGGATAAGGTGAGTGGGGTTCTGCCCCTCTACCCTGGGCTCATGTTGTGTGTTTAAGGCTCTGCTGGGTGATGGGACCACCTCCCATCTGCGGGGGACACCCAGGCCCCGGCTGGTAGAAGCCAGCAGTCCCTATTTAGCTTCCTCGTGGGGGAGAGGTTCCCAGATGATCAGCACCCCTGGGGACTTGTCATAGATGCAGATGCTCAAGCCCGTCAGGCCACAGCATCATGGACCCTGACTGCTGGGTTTCAGCAAGCCTCCAGGGAGGCTGGTGCATCTCTCTGGTAGGGGAGCTTCTCCAACCTGGACCTCACCTCCTCTCTCTTCCATCTCCATCTTCCCAATGGGGCCCCTGCTGTGGAGTTGGCTAAGAGATGGACAGAGGGCCCTTCCACACACTGTCTTATAAACACAGGCTCACAGAGGTCAGGTCACTTGCCCAGGGACACACAGCTAGTTGGTGACATGTCCAGAATTGTCACTCTGTGCCTCCAACACCCTGTCCTTTGCACTGGGCTACACTGTCACGGGGAAGAAGCCACATGTGGGGCCTGCAGAGTGGGGCTGTGCAAGGAGAGTCTCCCAGAGATGCCAGTGCCCGGAGGCCAGACAGAGAGCTGAGTGGTTCGCAGGGAGCCGCACACCCACCTTCCGGTCCATTCCCGGGCTGGTGTTTGGCTTCATGGGCACACACACCTTCTGCTGCCTGGAAAACATCCCTTGCTGCCCTCGAGGCAGTCATGGATAGTGGGACCAAGGCCAAGCCTGATACAGGGAGCCCTTCCTGTGGGGCCACCACCGGCTGTGTGACATAGAGCACGTCAGTTAGCTCCTCTGAGCCTCGGTTTCCTCATCTGTAAGGTGAAGAGAAGGCAGCGGAGCTCGTAGGATCACGTACACACCGGAGATGGTTCCGGCTCCCGTGGGGAAGAGTGGGTGGCTCGGGGCGTGTTTACACAGCTGACAATGCCCAGGTCATGCCCCAGGCTGCTCCTGGAACCCACGCTCCCTGGCCTCCATGCGTTGTCATCTAAGTGTCGCTGAGCACCGAGGCCCTCCTCTGCCTTATTGCTCTCCTTGGCCTGCCGTCTCTCACACCCTCTGTCCTCATGGACTCTGACACCCATCCGTCTTCCAGCGGCACATAGCAGGGGTGTCTGAGGTCGTTTGCAGCCATGTCTCCAGGGCCACGACAGTGGGGGTCCTCTCTTAGATGCTCCCTGTCCTCTGCCACCCAGAACTCACTCGGGACCACGTCCCCTCCCGCAGATACTCATCTACCACCCGGCATTTATCAAGTACGTCTTTGACAACTGGCTGCAGGGCCACGGGCGGTACCCCTCCACCGGCATCCTCTCGGTCATCTTCTCCATCCACGTCTGTGATGAGGTATGCTGTCTACCCGTGGCCTCCCAGGCCTGCCACGCCGCCTGGAGGACCAGGACTCGCCTCCCGGGCTCCTGGGAGAAGAGGGGGAGGCCGGACGGCTAGGCCTGGCTGTCTCTTCTGGAAGCTCAGATTCCATGTCTGTGTGGGGCTGGCGATACCCCTCTCGTGGGCGTGCCAAGGAGGAGCAGTGCTGCAGGAGAAAGTTGTCAGGGCCAGGGCTCTGGCGTGTTCTATGCCAGCGCCCAGGCAGGGCCAGGGCCAGCCATGGAGGAAGGTTAGGTTCAGCTGCAGAAGAAAGGAGTAAACTTCAGTAGGGAGGGTTTTCTGAGGCCGAGTTTTCTGTCTCTGATGTTCACTGGAATTGTCTGTGGGGCTAAATTCCAGTACCCAGACCACACCCTGACCAAGCTTCAGTGAAAGGTCTGGGGAGAAAACCAGGCTCCCGGGTTCCACCGTCCACTAAGATTGAGAACGAGTCATCTTCTGAAGTGTTCCTTTCCCTCAGACACCTCGCTGTCAGCTAGGCTGTGTTTTGGGTTCCCATTGATAACCTGGGAGCTCACTGCTACCCTAGGCAGAAAGGCAGGAGGGTGGACCAGCCACCGCCCCCTCCCCAGTTTCTTCCCTGGCCCTGGGTTCAGGCAGGACACTCTGTTGTCCCCTCTTGTCACATACAGTCCATCCCTGACCCCACCCAGCTCATAGTTGGAAATCCCAGAAAGGGATTTGGGGCTACAGGCGGGGCATAAGATCAGCCCAGCTGTTCCCTCCCCATTCCAGAGTCTTTGGCCAAAGTGGGATCTCTGTCATCTTCCCACTGTCCACCCGCATCCAGCTGGCCACAGACCCTCTGGTGTCCCTGCCAGGGCGACCCATGCCCAGGCTGGCATCCACTGGGAAGGCTGCATTGCCTCACGGCACTGTCTGCCCGTCAGGCCCCAGCCCTCACATCTGCACCCACTCGCAGGCCCGGGAGCGTGTCCTCCTCTAGACGCCCTCAGTGTGGGCCCTTCCTGGACATCGCCTCACTCTCTAAGATGCTACCTCAATGTCACCACCTCAGAAGAGCTCCCTCTGACCTGGGAGGTGCTGTGGGAGGGTTAGGTTACAGCTGCCGGGGCTGAGACCTGACCCATAGTCCCTGTTTCCTGGGCACCTGCCCAGGGCTGATATACCCGGCTCAGTGCTTGACTGAGGCAGTCTCCGTCGGTGTGAAAGGGCCCCACCTGCTGGCCACTGAGGGCTGGTGGAATGCCAGGCTCTGCTGTGGAGGTCGCCCTACCTCCTGCACTGAGCCTCTGGGTCAAAAGTGTAAGCCCCAGGCTCAGCACCAGCCTGCTGACTGTGAGTCTTGGCCCCATTTTCCAGTCAAGGACAGGGAGGCTCAGAGATGTGATGTGACACCCCCGGAGTCTGCCACATAAGTGGGAGAAGTGGGATTTAGGGTAGTTTCCTTGCTCCACTGGCTATCACTCCGCCCTGTTCCACTCTCTCCCTCCATGGCTCCACAGCCTTGACTTACCCACCTACAGTCCCTCCAGGTGCCTTCTGGCCTAGGACTTGAGTTGACCTAACTGGCATTGCTTCACCAAGCCCCTGAGAATCCCAGGAACCTACAGAAGGGCTTATCTGTGTCCCTCCAAGTGATCACGTCGGGTTGCAGGAAGGCCTACCGCAGGCTTCCTCTCTCAGAGCTGCCGCCGCCGCCCTGCTGTCAGGTTCTCCCCTGTGTGTGCCCACAGGTAGACCTGTATGGCTTCGGGGCAGACAGCAGAGGGAACTGGCACCACTACTGGGAGAACAACCCATCGGCAGGGGCCTTTCGCAAGACGGGGGTGCACGACGCTGACTTCGAATCCAACGTGACGGCCACCTTGGCTTCCATCAACAAAATCCGCATCTTCAAGGGGAGATGACGCTGCGCGGGGGTCCAGCAGACTCACCACATTGCGCCTCTCCAGTTCCCACCCCAGCGTCTAGCGGAGCTTCGCGGCTGGCCGTGGGCATGCACAGTTGCTGCGTGCAGCCTTGGCCGCTCAGCAAGGTCGCCAGGCTCTGCTGGGGCTGCAGAACACATCTCGGTGGGAGATGTGCTGGCCCGGGGCTGAGGCAGGGCCTTTCTCCAGAATCAAACTCTCAAATCATTTCGACTTGGGGGGTTGGGACTCCCACACTGACAAATAGGACTTCCCTGGGAAGATGGGCAGAGACTCGCTGTGGCCGAGGGGTCCAAACCCGACTCAAACTCCTGTCCTCGCCGGGAAGTTTCTGAGTGACAATTTATTACCTCCAAGACAGAACCACACCGGGCCATGCCGGCGCTGGGGGTCAGAGGCTGCCTTCTCTGCTGGAAGCCTGGCTTCTCCCTCAGTGTGAAATCTGTCATCTCTTTGTTCTCAAAGCTCCCATTGGATGGCCAGCGGAGGCCCCACCAACAGGTCTGCATGGAAGCTTAGCTTCTTGTTTCGGATTCCCACGGATGCCTCTTCCAGACAGATTTTCCTTGGAGCGATGGATCTGGGGGTTATAGCTGGCCGAGTGCTCTCTGACTACTTCATGTGCCTTTGAGTTTGGGGAGAGGTGCACACGTTGGCCCACAGCTCAGGAAGGGAGTCCTCCACCGGCTCCTGCTTACCCTACAGCTGAGAACATCTTTCCTAGTTTCCTGAGCCAGAGTCTGAATTCGAGCAAAACTTAGATGGACTCAATGTCTCCTAAAGGCACTGCAGCCATAGGACGCCCACTCTCACTCTCACAGGCTAGGGTTGGGCCCCTGTAACCTTCCAGGGCCACACAGGGGCTTCCAACAGCCAGCGTCATCCTCAAGGGCTGCACTTTGGGCCCAGTCCCCATGACCATCTTGGTGGGGTCCTGGGTTGGGGTGGGGGCGTGGAAGGCGCGCAGACTGGACTTACCTCATCTTCTCCCCTCCAACTACTCTCTTTTTCCTCTTCAGCCATCCTGATTATTTATTGATTTTTGTTTTAATTCAACTGACATCTTTCCGGGCCTGGTGTGTGAGGCTTGCTGTTGCTTTGTGAGGCAGCCAGGCAGTGAGGAGCCTTGGGGAGGTCCATAGCAATCAGACGGGGGATGTGGGGGCTGTGGAACATGGGGACTTGTGGTGGGGTTGTGGGATGCTCTGCACCACCTCCCTTCCAGCCCCTTCCCTTCTTCTCCTTGGAGACTTGGGTTTGTTCTTGGGCCTGGGAGTCTCCAAATGCAACAAAACCTCACTGGGGCTGGGAGGGGAGCAGAGGCCACAGGCATACAAGGGCAGTGATTCTGACTGTTGGCTCCAGTTCCTGACGGAACCAGAAAAACCACTTTTCCTATTGAAAACATTTCATGCAAGGCTGCTGCTGCTTTGGGGAGGTGTCACCTTCCCAGTGGGAGGTGAAGGCTGCAGGCATGAGGCCTGCTATTCCAGCTCTGGGGCCTGTTCGCACTGGGAGAGAGGGAGGCCTCAGGGGCCAGGGATGGCTGTACGACGTGCAGAACTGCATGCCAAGTTTGGTCTTCGCCCTGAGTCTATGCATACAAACATTTTTCTGGGGAGAGGTTCCATAGCTTTGATAAGATTCTCAAAGATTCAGAATCTAGAACGTGTTTCAAAGGCAAAATAACAACAAAAATCCTACTTCAGTTTAAAATTCTCCCAAACCGAAGAGTCTCTTGGCTGATAAGGCTGGCAAGCAGCAGGAGTCCCTGTCCTGCCCCTCCCTCCTGGCAGGCTTGAGCTCAACATGAGGAACTCAGCAGACATCAAGCGGGTGGGCCCAGTGACCCCAGGAGCAAAGAAGATGGAGGACACGGACTCAGACAGACAGCAGTGGAGACTCCTGAGCTTCCTTTTCTCAGTCACTAGGTGCACGCAGGGGTGGCAGGTTCAGGGTGCACTCCTCTGTGGGCTCCTCTAAGGAAGAACAAGCTCCCAGAGTGAAGCCGTGTCCCTGCAGGCTGGATGCTGGCTGGGCCCATTACCCGATCTCAGTCCAGTCCCTCCCTCCCTCCCACGAGTATGCTTAAGCTGTGAGATGCTCTCCACCCCACTGAATCCATTTCTCCCATTTCACAGGTGAGAAAAACAAGGCCCAGAGAGAGGAAGTGCCTTGCAAAGTGAGCCAGTTGCTACAGCAGAAGTCAGTTTGAGCAAGAGTAAGACAGTGCGGGCTCCAGGTTTAAAATGTCCAGAGGTAGGCATTCCCAACAGACTCCATCCAACATCTCGAAAAACTGTCACCAGGGTGTTGGTGTCTGACTGTCGCCCTGCCTCTCAGCACTGAGCACCAGCCCCATGCTGCAGACCAGATGCCCCCAACAAGCTCTGGTCTCCCTTCCCACACCTCCCTCCAGTGGAGGAGACTGCACCACTCCCCGTAGCCCAGCAGACATCTGCAGTGTCTCCTTGGCGTAGCAGTCAGGACTTGAACCAGTGGAAGCCACCACTGTGGCCAGAATTGAATGCACGAGTGGCTTAAGCCAACCGGAGCCTTGTTCTAGTTGAAGGTGGGAAGACTCAAACAAGATGGACCTCAGAGGGCACTGGGCGTGCTGTCAGCAGGCAAACAGGACGTGGTCACATTCATGGGGCCTGTGTATCTGCCATGCACATTCAGGACGGGGGCTCCCTCAGGCCCCAAACCCCAGCCCAGGGCTCTGTCCACTGCAAGCAGAGAGCACCTTGAAAAGCAGCCCTGGGCTCCGAGCAACTAGCATAAGAGTCCCAGCCTGTGGCTCACAACACTGAGCCTGAAACTGCAGGCAGGGCCAGAGAGGGTGGTTCAAGAGATCCCAGCAACTCCAGGTCTTCAGAGTCCCCACCCCCAATGAGCCAGGAAGCCGGTTACCCAGAGCCTGGGTCGCCTGCTTGTCCCCTGCCTCTACCCACCTGTTAGAAAAGAAAAGAGGGCCGATTTCTGGCCTCTGGCCTTCTCAGAAGGCTCTGGGGAAAAGAAGCACGTTTTTCAGAGGATGCCTTTTGAAATGGCCTTTGCCAGGCATCATCCAGCTAATACATGGGAAGGCTTAGTGGGGGACTGGCAGGAGTGGATGGGAGAAAAAA